GAAGATGCTGTAGAAAAATTTAATAATGCATATAAAATTTAAGAGATTTCAAATTTGTGACTGTTGCATTGTGAATAGCCCCCAAATTTAAAGAGTTGTTATTCTAGTATTCAAAAAACCATTATTCAATAGTTGTTTGCATTATTGATGAATGGATGGAGTTCTGAATTGATGGATAAATACATGTTCACCTTTGCCTCATTTACTAATGTAAATGAAACCATCAACCAGCATTCAAGTTGGAGCTAAAGGCATTCAACTGCAACCATGGGTTGACGGAACATAATAGTTTGGAAAATCAAAAACATTCTCTGAACATCAATTGGCTGCACTGATTTTACACACACAAAAAAGAATATTTTTATTTGTCAATTATGTTCTATACATCCTTTTATCAGTAAAATGACAAACAAGTATCTATACATACTTTTATTTTCCTGAAAGACATATGTAAGAGAGATACAGAGAAATACTAACTTAGCAATAAAGTTGCTAAGTTAGTATTCTGTTTTAGAGGATCACCAATTATTAGAAAGTTCTCATATGTAATAGAAATCAACATGTACGTTAAAAAATTTAGTTGATTGAAATACTTGATCTTTGGGACTTCCATTAAATAAGTCATGTTTAAATTGTAGCCGTTAAACTCTTTTTCTCTGAGGTTCCTACAACTTTCTCCTCTGGGACAAAAAGGTTTAATTCCTTCAGAATAGTTCTAATTCCTCTTTCTCTAGAAAAAAATAATCCTAATTTGTTTTTCATATAGACCTGATTTAATTTTTAAGCTGTTCTTATTGTAAAAAACTCTTTTGCATGTATTTCATTTATTGACAATATGGTTATGTTTTAAAGTAAAAAAAAATAAATATAATGTTTTGATGAGTGAGGATTTAGTTTTTTCTAGGTCATTATATTTCTATTCATCCCATATTTTATTGATTAAATTGATAAGAATTCGGCCCAGTTATACTTTATTTAGTTAATAGCTTCAGGCTTTTGAATATACCAGCTGTCATCAAGGCATAAGAAATCTATCTAGATTTTAATATTTAATGTTTTATCTACACATTTTGAAGTTGATATTTTAAACTTTGTGAAAGAAACCACGTATTAATCCTCTTACTTCCAATAGATCTTCTGTATTGTTATGCTTCAGGAGTAGTATTTGCAAAGTACTTTGAAATTATTACAACTTCTTTCATCGCTCTATCACCTATACCCTTTTGCAGTTTCTGAGGAAACTACATGCAATAAAAAAATGACAATCATTGCTATGCTCTATTGAAAGGCAGTTGTATACAGCCTAGGCTATTGAACTACACAGGGCTATCTCCTCCTCTACAGACCTGCAGATTAAACTTGGGCTCTGCACTCTCATGTTTGCCTGCCTGCATGGAGAAAGGAGAGTGATGACAGTGTTTGGTCTGACTTACATTTCCAGGTGACTACTTGGAGGAAAAAAGGAGCTACCTGGCTCATCTGTACCTACTCTTTTCTTCCATGTAGGGCAGCATCTGTGAGGTGGGCACAGTTGAAGTGTTAACTTAATCAGTTCAAATGAAACAAATGAAGAAGACATCATGTTTGAATAGCACAATCCCCATTCCAGCCTTAAATATAATATAATTATATATAAATCTGAATTATTATACACACACACAGCATTTCAGGGTTGTAAAAATTCAAGCAATATTAAGAAGTGTACAGAAGGAAATGAAGATTGCTTGAATTCCTACTCAAATCAGATGCTGCCATTAATGGTTTGGTAATGACAATTCTCAAACATTTCTTTCATATATACAGAGTCATTACCCCAAATGGGAATACCTCATGCATTTGCTTTTATTCTTGAGTCTCTTTTAAAAGAAGAAGGTATGGCTTGTTTTTTTTTTTTTTTTTCTTTTTAACTTACCTTTCTCTCAATTTCTTCACTCTCTCATCTTTCCTTTCAGTCCTGCGCATTCTTCATCTTTTTCCCCATGGTCATAAAATCCCATATAAATATTTGTATATGTATGGTCCTTCTATCTTCGAAGGAAATTGAACAATATCATGTATTTTCAGTACCTGAGTTCTGAGCAAATTGTGAAAACAAAAGAAGCAGCCGAAGGAGGGGGTGTAATGTAATTTTAAACAAGGTTACGTTGGAGGATATGAAAGCCACAGGTTCTGCTTCCTAAGTGTCAGGGTCATGCTAATTTAACCACCCCCAGTTACTGCCTGGGCTTAGCTGGGGCAAGTCCCCACTTTAGGTAACTGTGGAGGAGGCAATGGCTTGTTCTGAAAGACTTAATGCACAGAAGACTAGCGCTCCATGTGGGCAGGGTCACTGCATGAGGAAAGGGGCAAAAAGGGTGAGCACTGACTTCCAGGGGCCACAGCTGTCCCTGAAGTTTCAGAGCAGAACAACTTTCCTCAAAGTTCCTCACATCCCAGATAAACAAAAGGGACATGTGAATCAAACATGTCCAGTTTATACTTTCCAAGATGTCACTCTACCTCCTTGGGAATTATAATTTGAAATCTTTCAACATGAGAGGAATGTTAAAAACAGTAGACAAGGGTTCCTCTCAACACACGGTTTGGGGGCTCCTTTTTTATTTAAATAAAATCACATTATTATATACTTCCGAATCTCAACTCTTCTTGCTCAATAATACATAAAAAAATCTCTCAGAGAAAAAAGATACAGACCTAAATTTATTTCTTGTGATTGGTTCAGGTTATTCTAAGATGGAAAGATACACCAAAATTATTCAATTCTTCACTTTTTTAATGATCTTTTAGCTATCTATATTTTTTAATCCTTAGGTAGTTCATATGTCTATATGTTTTTCAATACTCCATTTTAATAAAAAGGAATATATATATATATATATATTATATATATATATATATATATATATATATATATATATACATTCTTTCAAGATTATTTATTTTTACATTTAATACTATACTTTATCTTGGATAGTGAGAACTATAAACAATAAACTCTATTACTCCTATAAGTAGCATTTTATTAAACACCTTTGCACATAGGTATTTAATGTGTGGGCAGCACTTAAGCTATGCTGTGGATAGGTTTCGTGGGGTGAGACTAGTAAATTAAGGGACATGTGCAATTTTGAGAGATATTAATAGGATTTACCATGGGTTGAAACAGTTCATTTTTTCAACAGCAACATATAGCAAATAGATTTACTTTAATACCCCTTAATACCCCTTAGCAGTAAATATTCCCACTCACCTTTCCATATTTGCCAATCTAATGACTGTAGTGTGAGAGCTTCCAGTTATGTGCTGGATTGCTTCATAACTTCAAAAAGGATTCTAATAAAAATTCTCCAGACTAGAGAGGCCTTTGCCGACTGACATATTTGTAGATGTTAACCTCACCCATTATCTTTATCCCCCATGTCTTTATCTTGTATTGTAAATACTGTACCACTTTTCCTCACTGAATATATTTTTATGTGTATGCTGTCTGCTCTACCCGTACCTAAATTTATAAGCTTTATGACAGCATTGACTTGTTCTTTTTGTTTATTAAATACTTGGCACTCAGAATTGAGTAAACAATTAATTTTTTTTTATTTTTCAGTGTATTGGTGAACATTTTTTATTTTTTCAGTGATTGTTTGGCTTTTCTTTCCTTTGAACTGCTTATTTATATTATTTAGCCATATTTGTAGTTGTTTTATCAATTTTGAAGTGTTTTGACATAACATAGGTATTAATATCTTGTTTAAATATTAATACAGTTCTCATTTTTTAAATTTACTTATAGGCATAACATAGGTATTAACAGCTTGTTTAAATGTTAAAAATAGTTTCTGTAATTTTTTTTTACTTTATTTGTAAAATAATTTGCTTTCCCTTTTATAACTTTAATTTTTCTACAGCGGTTGTCTTATATATTCTGAATATCCTATCATGATTAAAATATTCACCAATATATGTATTTTTGAAGTTTTATTTATGTTTACATTTAGGATTTTACCTTATGTAGAATGAGGATAAGTCCAACTTAGTTTTCGTCAAATGGATATCTACTACACCAGCAACAGTTTTTCTTCTTTTATTTCATGTGTAAATTTGAGTTTATTAAATCAATCAGTAGTACTACAACTACAGAAGTAAATACATATTTACAACTTAAAGCTTGGTTCACTTTATTTTTTAAATTGATACATAAAGACATAAAATTGTACATGTTAGTGGGGTACTTTATAACGCTCAATGCATGTATATATTTTGTATTATTCAAATAAAATTTAATGTTCGTAGTAGCTCAAACTTGTATTCTTTCTCTGTTGTTAAAACATTTACAATCCTTTCTTTTAGTTTTCAAAAATGTACAATACATGTAGCTATAATCACCAGACTGCACCAGCAACCTATTTATGTTAATCATTGTTTCCCACCCAATAGAAGCATCATCTTTGCCATCCATTAAATTACTTCCACTCTTGACTTTGTTTCTTAGCTCTCTATACTTCAATTGACCTATTTGTCTATTTCTAGTTTGATTATAATACCTGTATAGATTGTTTTCATGACTGAAAAGTAACCTGCAATTTAATTTTACTTCAAAGTATTTTTTTGGTTATTCTCATGAACTTAATGTTTTGTAAAAACTTTGGTGCTATTTTACCCAGTACAAAACAAAGCATACCACTAATAAGTATTTGTTCAAATTGAAATCATTCATTTGAGGGATATTGTATATTTAGTATGATAGTAAATCATTCAATCTCAAAACTTATGTATGAGTTACCCTTTGTTGCATAAAAAAATATCATCCTAAATGCATTGGTTTAAAATAACAATGAATCACTGTTATCTATATATTTTTATGATTCAGGAATTAGGGAAGGGTTTGACTGGAAGGTTCTGTCTTGAGGATCTTTCAGGAACTTGCAGTCAGATGAGAAGATAATTACAGGGGCCAAGGTTACATAAATGCTTCTTTCCTCACATGTCTGTTTGATGCCTAGGCTGGGAAGGACTACCAATGTAACATTGCAAGATGAGATATATATTGTTGCAGCCATCATTGGAAATGACCATTGCCTACAACATGGTATATCTTTAATTTATACTGTCATTTTTTATAGGCTTTAGCATGATTTAATGATTTCATTTTTATGTGTCCTGCATATTTCATGTTAAATTTAATCTGTAATAATTTGTAATTGTTGTTTCTATTGCAAATGGAATATTTTCCCTTTGATTTCTATCCTCTTCTTGTTAGTATAAAGAAAATCACTGATCTTTGAATATTTGTCTTAATCCAGCCATTTACTACATTTCCTTTTTAAATTCAAGAAGTTTTTAATAGAATCTTCTGGGTTTTCTTAGATATTCAGTAATATTATTAACAAACAAAGGGATAATTTTCCCAAATGAAACTGATTAATTTTTCTCTTTTCTTCTAGGCAGGAGAATCTCTGAAGAAATGTTGAATAATAATGGAGAGCAAGCATTCTATTCTTGTTCCTTATTTTAAAATAAATGGTTATGTATTGTTAAGGAGATTGATGATTGCTATTGCTTTTGCTAAATAATCTTTATCGAATTTAATTAACTTTTTTTCTATTTATATTGTGCTTGAATTGCCTCAAAACACTGGTATCATCCATATTCTGTAAGTTAGACAAAACAGAAGCATCTGGTCCTGATGTGCTTGAAATAATCAACTTTTAAAATCACTTTTTAAAAGTTGAATTTTAAGTCAACTTTTAAAATTCAGTCTTTTCTCTGATACTTTTTCTTATTTTCTACTTTTTTTCTGTATTTCTTCTTACTACTTATATTTTGCAAAGCAATCATCAATTTCCTCCAGATTTCTTTATTTCTAGAGTAATACTTCTTATTTATTTATTCACTGAGTTCATCATTGATTTTTTTTTTTTTTTGGATATCAATTCCACAGGGATTGTGTAATAAAAACACCTTTTCTAGTTGCCTACAAACTCTCCCATGCTTCTTTAACTAATGGCTTTCTGCATTCTCTCTCCTATTAGCCATGACTTACTTCACAATAATTTTGTTATTTCTATCATCCGCTGAATCCTCAGTTCTTATTAATATTGAAGTCAGATGATGTTACTCCTCTCTTAAAGTCATCCAATGGATCTCTATTAACTCTCTGACTTTATGCCCTACTCATTTTTGTTTCTCTTTCTCTGCTTGAGCACAGTAACCTTTCTATGGGTACTCAAACCTGCCAGGCTATTTATTCCTTTTTTTTATTATTAGTTGTTCAAAACATTACATAGCTCTTGACATATCATATTTCATACATTTGATTCAAGTGGGTTATGAACTCCCATTTTTCCCCCATACACAGATTGCAGAATCACATCGGTTATACATCCACTTTTTTACATACTGCCATAGTAGTGTATGTTGTATTCTGCTGCCCTTCCTATCCTCTACTATCCCCCCCTCCCCTTCCCTCCCCTCCCATCTTCTCACTCTACCCCATCTACTGTAGTTCATTTCTCTCCCTTGTTTTTTTCCCTTTCCCCTCACTTCCTCTTATATGTAATTTTGTATAACGATGGGGGTCTCCTTCCATTTCCATGCAATTTCCCTTCTCTCTCCCTTTCCCTCCCACCTCTCATCCCAGTTTAATGTTAATCTTCTTCTCATGCTCTTCCTCCCTGCTCTGTTCTTAGTTGCTCTCCTTATATCAAAGAAGACATTTGGCATTTGTTTTTTAGGGATTGGCTAGCTTCACTTAGCATAATCTGCTCTAGTGCCATCCATTTCCCTGCAAATGCCATGATTTTGTCATTTTTTAGTGCTGAGTAATACTCCATTGTATATAAATGCCACATTTTTTTTTTATCCATTCATCTATTGAAGGGCATCTAGGTTGGTTCCACAGTGTAGCTATTGTGAATTGTGCTGCTATGAACATCGATGTAGAAGTATCCCTATAGTATGCTCTTTTTAGGTCTTTAGGGAATAGTCTGAGAAGGGGAATAGCTGGGTCAAATGGTGGTTCCATTCCCAGCTTTCCAAGGAATCTCTATACTGCTTTCCAAATTGGCCACACCAATTTGCAGTCCCACCAGCAATGTACAAGTGTACCCTTTTCCCCACATCCTCACCAGCACTTGTTGTTGTTTGACTTCATAATGGCTGCCAATCTTACTGGAGTGAGATGGAATCTTAGGGTGGTTTTGATTTGCATTTCTCTGACTGTTAGAGATGGTGAGCATTTTTTAATGTACTTGTTGATTGATTGTATGTCCTCCTCTGAGAAGAGTCTGTTGCTATTTACTCCTTAACTGAGGAACTTCTACCCAGATAAACTCACAGTTTGGCACTTACCTCATTCAAGTCTTAGCTAAAATTGATCTCTTCAAGAATCCTTCCATAATCACCTCACTTAAAACTGTAATCTCTCTCAGGTTTCATGGTTTTATCCCCAAAACATTTGTCATCATACATTAAATTAGAACTTTTCTTCATTTACTTAGTTTGTTTTTAGTTTTGTTTTCTTATATCATTTACCCAGAATATTAAGGGAAATGTAACTAGGTATCTGATGAATAAATACATTATACAGTATGATCATTGATCATTTGCAGTTCCTCCCTATGATCTTTCCAACATGGTGCCTTTGAGTGGCCAGACTTTTTATAAGGCAATTAAATCTTCAAAGCTATGTGAAAGAAGAAGGAAAGAGAGAGAGAGAGAGAGAGAGAGAGAGAGAGAGAGAGAGAGAAGAGAGCAGTGTTATCTTTCATGACCCAATCTCAGAAGCCACTCAGAGTCATCACTACCATCACTAACAATTCTATTGGTCAGGAAATTACAAAGATCTGTGCAGGTTAAAGAAATGAATAGCTTGTACATGAAGAGTAACTATTTCTTAAATTTTTCTTTTATTCTTCAGGAGTTTTACAGTTATATCTGATTTTTGAAGGATGTTTTAGAACATATATCCTATGATTTTTATCTTTTATATAATTATTTTTCAGTTTTTACTTTTATTAATTTAAATGTCTTGCATTTAAGTTATTTTAATAATTTCTTGAGATAAGGTTGTAATAACATCTATCTTTCACCTTTTAAAAAATCTACTTTTTTCCCCTTTGGTCTGGATAGCTTTAAAAATGTACCAACCTTGATAGCTAGTGTTTTTTTTTTAATTTAAAACAATTTAGCTTTTATGTCCTATTTAAGAATATTTTTCTAAGCAGTCAAAATATACCAGTAATGCTTACAATATTTGTTTTTGACTACAATTAATACTGATCAAAAAATGTTGTGAATTTTATTGATTTTGAACAGATAAAAGTTTTTATATTATAACATTACAGTTTCTTACATAATATTTTTTGAAACTATTTCATATACATATTAATATTTTAATATTAAATTTTTATCTATTAATAATATTATCATGCTTTTTTCTATCTTCTTACATTTCATAGATAGTGTATGAAATGACTAACAAATGCCCAGTAAAACAGATATTTTTCAAATGCAATCTGTAGGTATCTACTCTCAAAATAAATTAGATTTTTGTTGCATTTAATGCAAAAAAATATTGCTTTCATATTAGTTCATGTTCACTTTTAAACACAATTCTATTTTTTTCCTTTTGATTGAGAAGTCCCGTAGTACCTTCTCATTTCACTACTCTCATTTGCCTATTATTCCTGAATCTTTGAACATGCTACTTTCTCCTCTCCTATTCTCTGTTCCCCAACCCACTAACATGCCATGAGTCAACATTATCACCTTTGAGTAACTTTTCCTACTACATTTTGTCTAGAAAAATCAAAAACATCAAGATAGGTGTAGTTTTCTCCTATAATTAAATTCCAGATAATCCAATTGAAAAGCTCACATACTAACCCAAAGACCCAGATGTTTATTGATGAAACTTCCATTATCACAGTGTAATTCCACACTCACAACACTTACAGCCAAATGTTGTGGCACTTGGTGATTTCTCTAACATGGAGATGTAGATAGAGAAGAAAAAAAGGAAAGAAAGAAAATCTTCCAGATTACACACACCAAAGATCCCCGTGAGTCCTGGACAGTTGTACAAATTACATGTGCATAGTGTCAGTTGAATAAATAGAAACCTGTTTTCAAGGAGCTAGTATGATTCTCCAGGGCTTTACATAACGAGTACTTTCTGTGGGCTCTTCCTTTGTCTGTATCCTCAGATTGCTCAAAGGAGAGAAGACCTCAGACAGGTACTTTTCCTCAATATCTTGTAGAAACTTCACAGTGATTTCTCCTGTTTCTTTTCTCCCCTAACTTAAATCAATACAGTTCTGATCAGGTGTGCTGGAAAGAGAGTGAGCGTGAAAATAAGCATGAGCCAGTAAAAGAGGGTACACATAGGCCAGAAAGAGCCCTGCCCTCCAGTAGGATGATTAGGTCTATCAGATTAGCAGCTCACTTCTTGAAAGAACAGGAAGATGGGAGACAGTATAGAGAGAGGGCTTGGAAGAATGCCTCTCTTTTCCTTCTTTTAAATCAGTGTCAATTCCTACAATTAGTTTTATATGAATCTTAAGTTTTCTGAACATTTCTAAACATTTAGGATAAAACCAAAGTTGATTCTTTTTTGAAATATTATACTTATTATTATCCCTTATCATATTGAGGTGGTCTTTTATTGATTGGTTGAATTCATCACATATGAATGCATTTTAATAGTTTCTGCTAATTTTTTCAATATTTCTAATTATTTTTGAAATTTTTTTGTATCATCAGAGAGTCAGCTATTCAATAAAATTAAAGTGCCAATCTCTTTTACATCATACAACAGCACATATCAAGTCCAGTGTGTTATTTTGTGTCTGGTGCATAGCAAGTGCTAAATAAATAAATATTAGTAGTAGTAATAATCTTTCTGTGTTATAAACAGAGGTGATGAATTACAAAAAAAAGTGACTTGTGGTACACCACTAGTAAGTTCTATTCAATCTTACAAAATATTAATTAGATTTTTTTGGATATGATAATTCAAATAATTGAGTTTAACTGAATGTGTAAACATGTAGTCCACATGTTTTGCCTTTTGAGGAAGAGGAATATACTAGGAAACATTATGATACATGTCACAAATCAAAATACACAGACTCTTTGGTTCCAGTGGTTTATTTTTTAACTATGTATAAAACATCTATTTTATAATATATCCTAGAAATTTATGAATAATGGAAGTCATAGTCACTAGTTTGTGTAATGTATGTAATGTTTTAAAAATAACTCTGTAATTCCTTATTGGCAAGCCACTTTTTTCTTTTATACCCTGCCCATTGTTAAAGCTAATTCATAAGACTAGAGTCAGGAGAAAGAGGATATTACTAAGGTATAGCCCTTAGTAGAAATTAGAGGAAAGATAATTCTCTCTCTTCAATAGAAGTATGAGGTACAACTATATTTTAAATATTGAGGAATGGAGAAAAGAGAAGCAAGTGGTAAGATATGTATGATCTGACCTCCACACAAAATCTTAACTGAACTGAAGAAGGCTGTATAGGTAGAGGTAAGAATTTAGAATAAAGAGTTTCTTGCCTCTCTTTCTGTTGGAATTA